CAGGCACATGCCCTCTAAAACCCCGTAGCAGCAGCTTAGCCATGGCAAGAGTTATCACCCTGGGAACCCCAGTGCCTGAACATAGCAGATGCCCAATAGTTCCTGGTGACCCTGAGCCATGCAAACGTCACAAAGGATGACGGGCTGGATCCTGCATTAAAAGGTCTTATAAAGAGGCTCTGGGAATGCTCTTTGATAAGAATTTGCTGGAAGTGTCAAGCTGATTAGCCTAGCACAAAACAGAATCTCAGAGATCAGTGGAAGGGTGTTTGTCTCTTGGTTTTGTCTCCCTAGACAGTCAATGGTAGAAGCTCCAGCTCCGGGATTGGAAATCTAGGGTGAAAGCTGGCCAGCTGTTTATTTGCAGGGGTGAAAGGGAGATGCTGAAGCACATGAGCACGCAAGCGCCTGCACGGAGCGGGGAGGGGAATCTGCTTGAACCTAAAGAGCCACTTTGGCCCCTTAAGTGATCTCCTCCAAGGAGGATCAAGAAATTCTGCTCTGAGGCAGTCTGAATGTAGGTTCTGGTGGTCAGTAGCTTGTAGTTCCAGCAACGTTGGAGACTGTTGCCGAGATCAGAAGCAGATATCCCTAAAGAGAGCTACAACTAAAAAGGAAGAATGACAGCTAATCCTTGACAGCTGACCAAAACTTTTCTAGTGGAAGGTTCTTTGTAGACATGCTGATGCTTCTAGGAATATAACTTACAGGGAATTTACAAAGGACCAGAGAGACCTATAGTAATAGGTGAAGATGTTGGTCCAAACAGAAAAATACATAAAATTATAAACTCACCTCCTACAATGAACATGTAGACTCAGGATATTAAATCTTACGATGGGGTAATTATCATTCAAATAATGTTTCAATAATTTCACAGCCAAGTGCAGCTAGTCTTGTCACCAGGACTGTGTTTAGATTGTTGTTCTAGTTACACTGGTAGTCTAAACGGAGTGCTATGGACACAGCCTTAAGCTGTTCTAGAAGATTTTGGTTACAAAGCATGTTTTAGAGCAGAATTCAATCCCACGGCACTATCCCTACTTGGCAAGGGTACTTATTAATCAACCAAGGTTCTCCCAATCAGCTTGAGGCTGCCAGCACTGCCTTTGGCATAGAAACCAGAGATATTGGGGCTGGCAAAAAAATTAAAGTATACGATTACACAGAGGGGCACAGACAGGCTGGAGCCAGGCATGGACTCAAGCTGAGCATCAGAGGCAATCACCAAGCTACTTATTCAAGTACATTTGTTTAGGGGCTGGGGAGATGGCTCAGTGGAATAAGCGCTTCTGTGGCAAGCTCAATGGCCTGAGTTCAATCCCCAGTTCCACAAAAAAAAAAAAAAAAAAAAAAAAAAAAAAAGTGCATTTGTTTTAGTTCTTTGCCCATTAGCCTATATTACTTTCATGAATATTGTGTTAGTTTACTTTCTGTCACTGTTATCAAAAATATCAGGAGTAATCAACTTATAAGTGATAGGTTCTGGCCCTAGTATAAATTGCTGAATTATTATGGTGGTCATCTAATATGGCGGAAGCCCCTAAGACAACAGCTTACCTTCCCAGAGACCACCTCCCCTTCTCCAACCCAGCCCAGGGTGCAATTTCCTTTCACTTTTCCCACCACCTTAGGGAAGACCCAATCAGCTCCTCAGAGATTTCTAAACATCCCTTCAAACCCCACCCCCAGCAAAAGTACGTAAAAGCCCCAGCTTTCTTTGTCTCAGGCCAGAGGACCTACCTGACCCATCTGCCCTCCATCCTCTCTGTGTCTTTGGAGTTAATAAAGATTTCTTTTATCTTTCCTATCTCTTTACTGCACCTCCAAAACAAAAAAACAAACAAACAAAACCCTATCAATAAGATTTTTTTTTAATTTTATTTATTTATTTATTTATTTTGCTCATGGTTTCAAAAATTTCAGCCTATGGGTGCTTGACCCAAACCCCTGAGGGTTTTTATTACTTCCTGGTACAGCCATGCTGGTGTCCAAGCCTTTATTTAGCATATGAGCCTTTTGGGGATGTTGATGATTCAAATCACAACAAATATTAAACTATATTTTCATATTAATAACTACAACTAATTTCCATGACATTTAGTCTTGACGGTGACTTTTGCCACATGTCTGCTCCAATTCAGTCATCTTCAGCCTGTGAGAAAGGGAGAAAGAGGAGGTGGAGCGTCTTTTCCTTGGAATATGAGCTGAAAGGGATCTTCATTTCCTTATGGATAAGGAAATACAGGCTCCGAGGGGCTGGACATTGGTAACGTTCCTAAATGAAAAGACTCTGGTGCGTGCAAGAGCAAACCTTCTGCCTTCCTGCCTTTTACAAAGACGGAGAAATCACTGTATTTATGTATGCATTCATTTGAATGAGGTAAAACTCACAAAACATAAAGCTACCCATTTCATTCAGTGTTAGCCTAAAGACTGAGAAGACTTTCAAACTAAACTATGAATTAAACCATCAAAATTAGCCATGTCAAAGTGAACAATTCAGTGGATTTTACACATTCACAAGGTTGTACAACCACCACCTCCCTCCATTCCCAAATGTTTTCACCACCTTCAAAGAAAACCCTTTTCTCATTAAGTAGTTGCTATCCACCCTCATCAGGCAACCACTGATCAGTTTTCTGCCTGCATGGACTCACCTATTTGGGATATTTCCTAGCAGTGGAATTACACTATACATGGTCTCTTAGGACTGGCTTCTTTTACTCGGTATAAGGTTGTTTTACAGGTTCACTTACATTGTACTATGTACTAGTACTTCATTTTTTATGAGTAATATTTCAGTATATAGCAATACCACATTTGTTTATCCATGTATCAGCTGGTGGATATTTGGGTTCTTTCCATCTTCAGGCTACTGTGGATAGTGCTGCTATGAACATATGTGCCTAAATATTTGAGTAACTGTTTTCAATTAATTGAGGCACAGACCTAGGAATTAAACTTTTGGGTCGTATGGTAAGTATATATAGTTTCACTTTTTTATTTTATTTTATTTTTATTTTTTTGGCAGAACTGGGGATTGAACTCAGGCCCTTGCACTTGCCAGGCAAGCACTTATTCAACTGAGCTATCTCCCCGGCCCCTATATAGTTTAACTTTTAAAGAAGGCACCAAACTATTTTTCACTTTACACTTCCACTACAAATATGAAAAAGTTTCTTCACATTTTTTTATTCATAATTGAAACTGGCTGCATTTCTTGTATGTATCAAAGTCCTGCCA